AGGTGGGCCTCGACCTTTTGGAGCTGCTGCAGGGTACGGTTGAAGGCGTCCAGATCCTCCTTGCGCGGTTGGCTCGGCTTGTGGTCCGGGCTCGGCGACGCGGGAGCGGTTGGGAACGTGCAGCTTTCGGCAATGAAGTCGCCAAACTGGGACTCGTGCTTCCAGGAGTCCATGGCTTCGATGACCTGGAAAGAGAGGGGGTTAGCCGTGTTGCTCAAGGCTCACGGCATGAGATGGGGTCTTGGCTTACCGACGAGGTGCCTTGCATGAGCTGGGTCCAGCTTCGCCTGTGAAAAAGAAGAGGTGTGTAAGCGCAGGCGCCGTGGAGAACGGGCGGTTGCAGTTTGTTGCCTACCAATCCGTGGCTTGCCACGACAAGACGAGTGAAGCGGCCAAGACGGCATCCGACGTCTCGCGGTTGAAAGTGCCAATAGCTTCCTGCAGGCCCTTGAGTGCGACACCGCGGTGCTCATATGCCATGTTGCCGACCAAGGGGCAGTCGGTGAGAAACGCAATGTGCGTGGCCGAGAAGGCCAAGAGGGCATGCATGACATAGGTGTTTGTGGCACCAATCTTGATGATGCTATTCCAGGTCAGCACAGTGCTTGATGCCGGATGAAGGGAAAAAAAAAACCAACTCACGTCGGGATCTGACGAGTCCAGAGGGTGAAACCGTTGGCGTCAAAGGCGGCCAACTCATCGCAGATGGAAGCCACATGATAGACGAGTCTGAGGTCCTCGACGTTGAGGTACTGCGGGTTCGGCGCTGGGTAGATGTTGAGGTTGGGGAAGGGGAACTGTCCAGTCTGTTGCCACATCGAGATGGCCGCCTCAACCTCGGGAGTCCACATGAGGTCGGGCTTGTCAGGGGTCGTGGAACTATCTTCGGGGACGGGCATGTCATTGTAGGGGCAGCGGATCTTGTGCTTGGTGCAGTTACGGCTGGTCATGTCAGCGAAAGTTACCAAGCCAGAGGCGGACGAACATACCATTGGGGGAAGCTCTCGTCACATCTGATGTGGCGACGCTTGCAAGTATCACAGCCCTTGCGGGACTTGGTGTGACTGCGGCGGGGGGGGCCACCACCAGGACCGGCCATTATGGACAAGATGGAGGTGGTTTGTTTTTTGAACGAAAGAGCTGCACACTGTCAGTCCGGCGATGATGACACAGGGACGGAGTCCACAAACATGAGGATATACACGGACGGGGGGACCGTGTATGAGAAGCGAGTGTAGTTCCGTTGCCGGTGAGGAACGTAAGGCGGCAAGGTCCCTGAGACAGGCTTTATACTACGACGGTGAGTCGGTGACTCGGAGGAGGCGATGCGAAGGATCGCAAAGCGTATTTGGATGTGTAAGCGACCGGCAGCGCAATGGTCGGATGCTTGGTGGGAGGCGATCGACAGAAATGGTTGCTAAGAATTCCGCAATGCTCGATAATCGGCTTGGCAGGATTCCTCTCACGTATCTTTCTGTGATGCGTTGGTCTCTTTTTCTTCTTCTTCACTTCTTCGAAACAGCCTTTTCTGTTTTGTTCCCAGTTCCTAACACTAGTAGCGATCGTCGATGGGCGCGAGATTGTGCGTTTTCCCCCCTTAATTCCTTCTTTCCTCTCTGGTACCGAAAAGCGAGTGTGATTGATCCTAAGACCGATGTTCAAAGGTGAAGCATTTGTTGGCTTACGCCGGGTTGTGGGAGAAACGGGATTGGGGGAGGGGCTTTGTCGAGCTGGCGTATCCCGAGGATTGGATGAGGTTGAAGACCAGGGGTGTTGGCGATGGCTGCTTCGAGAGTAAGGTGCCGGAGTAGTCTAGAGCTCCTTGTGCCTTTATGGTTCTTCTTTGGGGTGTCTTGTTAGAAAAGAAGTGGCAGAGGACGAGAGATGGAGAGGTTGCTTGGCTTCGATGAGGGTATGAGTTGGCTTTCGGGAGGTGAGGGAAACGAAAGGGGGAAAAAAAACACAAGAACGCAAAAGCGAATGACAGGAGTCAACGAGGACTTCCTAGGAGTAGAGAGTTAGGAAATAGCGAAAGTGGTTGAGGGCAGCACGAGCAGCTCAACGAGGCTGATTATGTTTGATGTTTGGTGTTAAGGTGAGGGGAGGGGAGATGGGAATGGCGGCAGTAGATGGTTGGGGGGGCAGATACAATTAAATAATGGCACCTCGCGTACAAGAGAGACGGCAGCCGACACAAGCACACACAAACTCATACAGAAGCTTGGGCTAAAGCTCAGAGTGAGGGCGGCGCGGTTGGGAAAAAGGGTGCCACACCCGGTTCGGCCTAATCAGGCAAGACAGCGCGGCCGGGTGGGAATGACGGGGCACAGCCTGTGTGCCCGGGGGGTTAGGGGTGAGGGGGGTAAGAAAAGAAAAGCAAAGAAGAGGAAGGGGTAGGGGGGGGGGGGGGATGAGGACGGAAACCCTGTCTCTCTCTCTCTCTCTCTGTCGATGCTGGGGTGTGTATGGACGAGGTGGACGAGGTGGGCAACAGAGATGCTTCGTGGATGTCCGGGTGTGCACACCCCAGCAGGTCTAGGGAGGAGGAAGAATGGACAGGACTGGATGGGACAGGGGGGATGAGGGGGGCAGGAATGGTAGCTTGTGGAGGGAAGGGGGGGGGGGGGGGGGGGGGTGGGGGGAGGTGCCGCCCGTGCTGGGAGTGCTGCGCTGCTTTGCTGAGACTAAGGTACACTACCTACCTAGGTAGGTACGAGGCAGTTAGGTAGGTAGGTAAATAGGTAGGTTATGAAAATTCGTACGTACCGCTTCGCCCACTCGCACAGTGTGGTCTGCTTGTCTGTCTTTCTGTCCCTCTGTCTATCGGCTGTCTGGACTAGGCTGGATGCCCCCGTCTGTGCGCGTGTGGTGATGCCTGCTAGTTGAGAATAGGATGGATGCTTCGCTCTTTTTGTTTGAGAATGGCAAGAGCCCGAACGCCGCTGCGCGTGCGGATGCGGGTGCGGGTGCGGGAGCAGCAGTAGGTAGCTACGTAGCAACAGCACGAGCAACGATGACAGATCCGCCAGGGGGGGAGGGGACCCAGGGACTGAGGAGAGACAAGGGTCTCCTATGGAAAAGAAGAAGGGGAAGAGAGAAGAAAAAAAAATACTATGTATGACACACTGGGCCTTGCACACCGGGGTCGGGCCCTGTCGAAACAAGAGGAGAGACGGGTGTGTGTATCGGTGAATCGGTGAGTTTTGATTTTGCTGTTTTCCGCTTTCCGCCCGTACGGTCCACGCAACGCACTATTGCCGTCCTTCCTCCGTAAGGGGCGCAAGCGAATCGTAATGGTGAGGGGCTACCTAGTTTACCTAAACCTAGGTGCCCGTACGCAGCATTCGTCGTCTAGGTATAGTAGGCTAGGACGGGATGGGATGGGATAAGATGGGATGAGATGGGATAGGATACCTAGATGGGATAGATGGGCAGTAAGAGTGCTAAGACGCAGTGGGATTGGTGAGGGTGGTTGGCGCATACGTACACAAGGTAACTCAAAATGTCGGCGTCTGCATGAGCTGGAGCTTTACATTCAATGCATACGAGGAGGTGGTGACTGCGCGGGAATAGAACGACAAGGAGGGGGAAGAGTGAGAGAGGAAAGAAGGAATTGTTGTTTGATGGAAGATTCGACAGACAAAATAAAAGGAACTGGTGAGGCAATACGTACCGTACCTTACCGTACCGTACAATACCGTACAATACAGTACAATACAGACTGGCGAGACGTGGAAAGAGCGAGGCCCCTTGGTGATGGAGACTCGGATGTCATGGCCGATGAGCTTGATGTCAACGGCCACACTAGTGTAGTGACCCGATCCCTATGTATGTATGCCATCCAAGCTATGTCATGTAGTAGTATACGATTAGTCTACGGAGTACCTATGTTATGTACGATATGTCGTCGGGGCCGTAATGGCAAGACATGCCGAGGCTGCCCATGTCTATCAAATACCTAGGTAAGGTACTACTACTACTGCCCAAGTCCACACTTGCTGTCAGCCAAGGAAGGCGGCCGGAGAACTGCCGGGCGACGTGCAAAGAAAAGAACGCGCGCCACGGCATGCCACGCCACGCCACGCCCAAACAGAAAGAGCCGTCGTCGAGGAGAAGGAGAACAAGAGGGAGGTCAGTCCTGTATCGTCGGTGCCGCGCCGTACCGTGTAGTGTGCGTGTGCGTGTGCTATTGAACCGACCAACCACTCCGTTGCATGTGCTGTTATTGTTTGTCTCCGTCGTCGCACCGCCGCCGCCGCCGTCGACGACGAGGACGAGGTCTCCATCTTTTACTCGCCGACAAAGCCGATGCAGAAGGGCCCTAATTAAAAATAAACCTGGCCCCTCCCTCCCGTGGGTGAGCCGGCTTCTTGGGCCCAACCAAAGACGGCGGCGGCGGCGGCGGCGACTCACCCACGCGAAAGTCCCAAAGACGGCTGACAGGAGAAGACCGGGGTGGGTGGTCTGCCAGTGGGAGTGAGCGACCAGAGAACGAAAACAGAAAGCAGATGGTGGGGTGAAAAGAGAGAGAGAGAGAGAGAGAGAGAGAGAGAGAGAGGACGAATGATTGACCGCCGTATGACTACGAGTGGGGTATCGAGTGCGAACGTGACGTGACGTGAGGTGAGAGATAATATCTGCCTGTTATGGTTGGTCAAGGCTGAACAGTCCTCTCTCCCGCCCATGCCTACCCAGTAACTACCCAGGTACTCACACACCTAGGTTGCTAGGTAAGATACTTTTAATTGCCTGGTACGTGCCCAAGCTTTGGTCTGCGGTCGATGCCGCTAGTGCTAGAAGAGGCTAGTCTATGGTGAGAATAGTATAGCATTCAGCAAGTTCTCATCCTATCCTGGTGCCCTTTTTTTTTTTTTTTCCCTCCTCACCCGCACTTTTTCTCCATCACCCACTCACTCCCCTTCCAATCCAGTCCAACCACTAAGAGGCCGCCGCTATTCCGCTGGGCTTGGCTGCGCCTCAAGCTGTCTGTCTGTCTGTCTGTCTGTCTGGTCTGTCGCTTCACTCTTCCCATCTTTGCTTCACGTTCCCAAGCAAAGCACTAAAGCAACCGCACAAGCTCACCATCTGATGACTTTCTAGCGCGTTCCTCTGCCATGCCATGCCATGCCATGCCCTGCCATGCGGCGCGGCTGGCCAAGCCGGCTGGCTAAGCTAGCCTTGCCTGCTCGGGGTCGCAAGGGGAATGGTTTCTCCTCGTCTCACAGGGCACCGTTGCCTCTTACGAGCTGCCTTTCTCCCATTGCTTGCTTGCTTGTCTTGTCTTCTTCCGGCATAGCCTTGTTACCTTTGGGGTCTCCCCCTCGCTGCCGCTGCCGCCACCGCTACCTGTTCATCATCGCCTGCATCACTGCATCGCGCCGCCGGTAGCATGCCATGCTGTGCCGTGCAATGTCGTGCTATGCCGTACTGTTCCTCTTCTCTCTCTCTCTCTCTCTCTCTCTCTCTCTCTCTCCGTATGGCTTCTATAATAATGTGCACCTCGGATTGAGAGTCATGGTCCAGAGGAATGGTAGGGGGGGGGGGGGGTAACGGGCGTGCCTTGTCTCGACCCAGACCAGCAACACACGCTGGGTGCCAGGTGTCTGTCGGCAGGAGGCTAGTCAACACGATGGAGGCGAAGCAATCACCAGTAGTAAGCCATTATTGCACCTCTGCCCGTCTGTGCCAACGTCTGTGCTGGTGACTCTGGTTGTTTTCCTCTGTCCCCTTTACTACGCAGTGCCTGTGCGACTCGTCCACTCGGGCTCAGCCCATGACGGAGGCACCACACCCACACCGTCCAGTCCCGGACAACCACTTGGCTCAGCTTCATGCGGCCGGACTCTTGCGCTCTTGGGCTTTTCCGTCCGTCTCTTCTGCCTTTACCTGTGACACCTTTCAGCAGAAAGAAAAGCTACCCCGTCGGGCCGGCGTTCGGGCGACAAACAGTGTCGGTTGCCCTTTTTTTTTTTTTTTTTTTCCTTCTTTCGTCTGTCCTATTTTGTTGGCTCGCACAGATCAAAGTCCAAAGTCGAAAGGGCCAGAGAAAGACTCGGGAGCAACAGGCTCCAATCCACAGAGAACATACAGGTACATGTTCTGCCGACTGAAGCTTCATGTTTCCGCCCCGCGGGCGTTCGTCTGTCCACGGCCAATTGTTCCCTCTTGCTACCCCCTCCCCCCCTGCTAGCACTCTTGGGCAATAACGTCGACAGCAGGGTGTTGCGGGGACATCATGTGTACCATGAAATCGGTAGGCAGTGGTCGTAGATAATTTTGAGTTGAGCCACCGCCTAAAGTAACCATCCAACCGTCCCCCATCGGCACTCATTGGTCATGCACGGACTTATAGGCTGAAAGGATGCTCTGCCTACTGCTACCTAACCTACCTTACCTTACTCTACCTACCTACATCATACCTTAGAGGTATTGAGACAGAGTCTACGACAGGCTGAGGTGGCATTGCAGCAAGCACCGTCATCGATACCCCCATGCAGAAAGAGAGAGAGAGAGAGAGGTTTCGTGCCTTTGGGCTGTATCCCGGCAGCACCCGATTTTCTAGTCTCGCTACCTGCCGTGCTACCTACCCTACGATCCCCAATGAGTCAATCATCTCGACCCATTCGTAGGGCGCAAAAAAAGAGTTCGTCACATGGCCTCCTCCGTGGGCGTTGGATGCGTACTTGGCGGCCGTGCTTTGTGTCGGTATCGCCAACACCTCAACCTCCTTCGGCCATCTATCTGGCCGGCACCTCCAAGGTCCCGAAGCTGCACACGCAATCGTCCCATATTGCATGACGACTACAGCTCTGTCATCGTCGTCGTCTTCGTCGTCCGTGGAGAGTCTCTGGAACTTTGCGAGCTGCGGCGAGAACTGTCCAAACATCGACAAAGTTTTGACGACCCTCGTCATGCACACACACACACACACACACACACAACCTTGTGTGCCTTGGAGGAGGATCAAAAGCTCCAAAGTCCCAACTGGCGCCCGTCCCCTACCCTCCCCTCCCTCCCTGGTCCTTGTCCCTCCAAAAGTCGACCTTTCCCATCTCGACCGGATGGGGAAGGACCCTGTTCCCATTTGAACCCACTATACGTACACTAGAACGGCCGGCGAACGTTATGCGGTCATGGGTTTGACAACACCCCTGCCTCTCTCTCCCTTGGGCGTCTTTCCATCGCCCATGCTGACCTTGCCCCGTGGCAGGCTATGCCGAAAGAGGCGTGGGTGTGGTGCGGATGTGATGTTCGTACAGCGCTTTAGCGAGGACTGAGGCGCCTAGCGTGCCGGCACCTCACCGGTGGAGGTCTCAAGTCCGTCCTGAATGCAAAGCTCTACATAGTATCCGTAGTAGGTACCTAGCAGGTTCGCTCCGCTAGGCCAAGCCACAACGGCAGCATCGTCTCCGCGACACTAGAAACGACCGGCTGCTAACCGCGGTTACATCAGCCAGAGAGACCTGACGGCGGTTCAAGACATGGTTTCAAGCCTGTGCCGTACGTAGTGCACGGGGGTTTTCGAACCACCGCTTTCTCACTCCCATGGCAGGGGTTCAAGGACAATAACTTCGAGTAAGGAAAAAAAGAGAAGGGGAAAAAATAGAGAAAAAAGAAAGAAGGGAAAAAAAAAATCCACCACCGTTCACGGTATGGGCCTGCCGCTGCTGCCGACAAAACAGACTGCCAAGATGATTGCCTAGTTCGGTGATAAAGTTACGTTTGGTAAATGAAAGAAGGCGGCATCTAGATGCAAATCGTGGGACGTTTGGGGGTCTGGCGTCTCCTTTCTTATTTCTCCGACTCGCGTGCCCCTCGATCCCTTGAAAACATGCCCTGCAACTACCTACCTAGTGTACGGAGTACACTAAGCAAACTCTTCCTTTCCTCGGAAGAGAGAGCCAGGTATTCATTCATACGTACCAATTGACATGCCGGGGCTAAACCTGTTGTCCCTCATCTGTGTTCCGATACTTCAGTCGACACACACTCGGAGGCTACCGAACCGCCACCATGGCAGCGGCCGTTGGGGTCAGATCTTGGGGCAAAGGTTTGATGGCGCTGCTGGTGTTGTCATTGTCCTCGATATCGGACCACTTCGCGCCCGTGGCCCAGCAGGAGAGCCCTGGGAGGGAAAGGGGGGGGGGGGGGGGGGCAGGAGGATGAGGAATCCTCACGATGATGACCCTGCCCTTGCCCTGCGCCGGCGTTGAGGAGGAGATTGCGGCGAGTCAGTGATGGATCAGAACAATTCGGAGACAGCAAACGTTAAATCAGATCAGCACCAGCAGAACAAGATGTGGCGCTTTTGGAGCTCTGTCTCGAATAAAACGAAACTTTTTTTCTGGGGTGGAGAGTCCCATCTTCTGCCTTCAGCAAACCAGGGGCGCCGGGGTCGACCGCGCTGCTTCCCAGGGTCCCCGTCACTGGTCTTGGCTTTTTTTGTCTGAATGCATTCTGCAAGGGAGGCATGCTGGGAGATCGGAGTTGCGGGTTCCCTACCGCTCCTGGTTGGCTGAAACAACAGTTTCTCGTGTCCATTTTTGGCGTGTTCTGACAGGGCATCATACCATGCCCCCATGTTCTCTTCTTGTCCTGCAGCATAGGAAAAGCCAGACGCGGACTATAGCTCGACATACATGGTAAGCAACTCTTCCCGAATCGTCGACGGCATCTCAGATGGTCCATCATATCACAAACCACGAGGGAGCTGATGCCGCCGCCGCCGCCGCCGCCGCCGCCGCTGCTGCTGCTATCTAGCGCGGCCAATGACGAATACCTACTACACTAACTGGTTCGACATCCACACAGGCCAGCCGGGCGCGCGTGCCAAGGGTCACCTGTTGGTGGCCCGCGTGGTCCGCTTCTCCCTCCTGGCAACCGTGTCAGATTATTAAGGGTGGCCTACAAACACAGGGCACATTGGGGTAGGCACGTCAAACTGTCATGGAGCCTGTCATTTATCGACTAGAAGCGGTGTGAAGCAGCAGCAGCAGCAGCAGCGAAATAACCTTACGAAGAGAGACAGCAAGTGGGTTCGTTGCGCCCTGCTGGGCGAGTGATGGGCGATGTGGGCGTTCGATTCGTGCAAGAAGCCAGGGCAGGCAAACAATATCAGTACTCGGAGGGCGACCGCTGATCTCGCTCAGTCGTCCGTTTGTGCGTGCCCCCGAAGGGACCGTCGTCCGAAGTCTTGAGGCGAGAATGCAGGAACAGGCGGCGTGGGGAGCACCATAGGTCGGCGGTGCAGGTCAGTCGAGAGATAGTCGCAGCATTCTGACGTCCTCGGACGGACGCTTTTCAGCCCGTCTGCGTACTCTGGTCCATACAACCAGGCATTCTTGCCGACGAGTAAAGTTGTCAAGTCGATGTGTGTCTCGGTCGGTTGGCTAGCAATAGAGGGGACAGCTTGCAGCCCAAGCCTCTGACGGGGGCAGGCTGAAGCCGGACTTCATGCAGAGACCATGGCAGAGAGCATCACGACCTTGCCGGATACGGCAAGGCGGGTTTCTATTCTTAAATAACCTTCTTTCAGTTTGGTCGTCTGCGCATGCGAGGCCGCTTCGGCCGAACCATACGGATACATACATTTGTAGTAGCTGTACAGCGTGGGACTTTGTGTGCTGAAGGATCCTCTCGATCGCCGGATGAGCCCAACGGCTGGCTGACTCTCGGGGTACATTGGACAATGGCATTTGCTGATCTGGAGATGACCGATATTGGCTCGCCTCGTCGGTGTGTCGTCAGCGCTGTCATGCGCGTGTGCATTGATTGAAGCCGGTGGCTGAAAGAAACAAAGCAACGTTCCATGGCCCAATGTCGGTCGCGGCAGTACTTTTGGGCATGCCACACTCGCTTCGTCTCCGGGCGACTCTTTGGCGATCGGCGTCGTCGGCGCATCTCATTCGGGCGCGAAGGTGATGCTGCCGGCAGGACGCATCAAAGTCGTAATTGAGTAAACTCTTCGTAGCGTGGACTTTTTTTTTTTTTTTTTTTTTTTGCCGTGTCCCTGTCGATAACTGATCTGATATTATTTCCCCACTGTCGAAAGACGGATGGAGCTGATCAGAGGGAGGGCGGGCATGGCACATGCTGATCGCTGCGTGATGTGATGGTGAGAGCCAGCGGCCATTGGCTCCGTCAAGTATTGGGCAAAGAGGTAACCCTGTGCGCATCATCGACCCGCATATGTAGGCTGAAGGTTGTGCGAGCCGCGGTGGCCAGGCGCGGTGAGGAGAAGCCACAGCATGGGTGGGCGTTTTACCGCCCCAAACCAAATGGGCTACCTACCTACCTGCCTAGGTAGCCTGCCTGTAGGTACCTGGGCAGTAAGTTTAGAAGAAATCTGCTCTCGAAAACAAGTTGCTCCAACTCTACTACAAAACCCACACACACAAAGTCCGGCTGCTAGGAGAGACCGTGAGGCTCTCTCCCTCTCTCAGATGTGTGTGGGTTCTTCATTTTCGCTTGCCACATAGCTAGGGTGACGGAGTTTCGGAGACAAATGCTTTCCACGCTGACCCGCCATTGTTGTGCAGTGTGTACGCTAGGTACTGGCAACTGCAGTGCAGCATTGTGCAGATAGGCAGTGGCCACACACAGCATCAAGGTTGGCCTAGTGGATTGAGGGCGGTGAAATGGGTAGGCAGGGCGCCGAACTACTGTAAATGTGCGGCATGCAGAACTCAGCTGGGCAGCGGGTTGGTCAGTGGCCGTTCGCATCAGTCGTAGGACGCAGATGCAAAGGCAGACGATGCCAATCACCAAGGTGGATGGGCTCGATGGACGACATTTGGCTGATGTGACGCATGACCCCCCGCGGGTCTTCACTCTAGTGAACCAAGGGCTTGGCCAGGGTCTCCAATGTTTGCTCCACGTTGACGACTCTATGGTGCGGAGACGATGATACATACCTACCTGGGTAGACGGTACACTAACTAGGTGCTCTACGCGATGAACCTTTGGCAATAAGAGTAGTTTAGCCGCGGCGATTTTGGCCGAGAGAGGCCGTCACGGGTTCGTCACCACAGTCCCTTTATTGCTGGCCAGGGATGACCAAAACACTAGACAAGTGGCCTGACGGCGTGGTTGTTGTTGACGGAGCAGCTCATCAGCCGAGGAGGGGCGAACAGGCACCGCAGCGACTGCTGCCGACAATTATCGTTGATTGCTAGGTAGTGTGGATTGTCGGGAGTTCTGCTGGGCTTCTGGAAAATGCGCAGGGCCGTCGGTCCCCGCTGCGTCTTGTGGATTGCACGCACCGGGCCCGACGAGCCCCGTCGGGGTTCCACCACTTCAGCGGGGCAAGGGAATGGAGAAGGGGGGTAGAGAGAGAGAGAGAGAGCGTAAGGAGTGACCAGTCTCGCCAGGGAAGGGAGCTCATATGTGTGTGCGTGTGTGCGGTTGTGTTCCTTGGATCATGGAACGTGGTTGGCCGTTCGCAGCGTGGATGGGGCCATGGAATTGACTCCTTTCGAGACGTAGCAGCATAGCATGAGACCGCCCGTCACCCCAAAACCTTGTCGTGATGGCCGATGTTGTGCATGTTGGCGAGATGCGATCCCAAGACAGCGGCGCCAGGCGGGAAAGACATGGGATCGGAAGACGCTGACACATGTCATGATGCTGTCGGGAAAAGTTGAAACTCGACATGCGTCGATTGGTGCAGACTAGAGTGACAGGCGTACAAGCAAAAGTTCCTGGCCGAGGCATCTCGACAGTTGGAGTATGGCAATGTTGGGTGACCATAATGACGTCTGCTACGTGTACTTCGTACCTACGTCAGTATCGCAGATAGGTGGTAGGTAGTAGGTACCGTAAGGTTGCCTTATCCTCGGTAACGGGCACTTACATCGTGGGGGGTTAGCATATAACTCATACTCACTCGCTCAGGGCGCTAGCTCTCGGGGAAGGGCATCCTAGAGACAGAACAAGTGTGTCTTGAGTCACCGTTGCCCCGTCTCTTGACCCTTCCCCAGTCGAGGTAACGTATCTTAGCCTGGACATGCCTCCCTACATAAACTACCTCCGTGATTACATAGGAGGGCAGGCTAGGTAAGCAGGGGAAGCCGCCTCGTCTACTACTGTACACTGCGGTTCTACCTACCGTACCTTAGCTATCTAGGTACGTACCCAAGTAGCCAGTTCACGCTACTACCCACCTACATTGCATCGAGTAGTACACGGGCGAAAGAAAATTCGGTGTACCCAGCCTACATGCCTTGACCAGAAAGGGTTAGCGGCGACGGCCCTAGAGCAGTGAGCCGATTTGCCGCGAGCTCATTAAGCTGCGCGGGGCCTTCTTTCTGTCTTGGAATTAAAGCTGTGGGCTGAAGTGCTAAGCGAAGGAAAAAGCAGGAGGAAAAAGTGGCCGGTCATTGGCCGTTTCCCCCTTCGTCGGGTGGGGTGGGGCGGATGGCTGTCTGCATCTAAATTTAGAATCATCTAGACTACCTGATCGGGACGCACTAACCAGCAGTAGCCCGGTCGGCGATGGAGCCGGGGTAGGAGCAAGCGAGGGTTGCTAGGCACACGCTGCACGCCTGCCACCCGCCTCTCTTTTTCCCTTTTCTTCACCACCCCAGGTACCTACCTACCTAGGAACCTGGGTAGACAGGTACGTATCCACTCAGCTGCAGAGTGCTACCACACAATGCGTACCCACGGTACGGAGTACCTTACCATCTTACCCAACCTACTTCGGTCTAGCGCCGCAATGAAATCGGTGCCGTGTGCTATGTATGCATTCTCTTTCCAGCAGTTTGCAGTCCTTCTTTCTTTCTTTCTTTCCTGTTTACATATAAAATGTATCTTTCTCAGCGTTCACACACGCAGTCAGTCTCTTGCCTGCAGCAAGACCGCCCTCAACCTTGCTCGGGAAACAGTGCTTCGTTGATCCTCCGCTACTTTTGATGTGGGGCCCTAGTCCGAGGTCCAACTTCAGCTCTGCCGGTCCCACTATCTCCCATTCAACTCCTCCACTATCCCATATCCTTCCAGCCCATTCTTTCTCATGGTCCATCGCAGCCCCTTCACTCACGTCTTCAGTCCAAACCCCCCAGCGCCATTGCTAATCCCTGGTTTTTTACTTGTTGGGTTTGTTTAAGGAGGGGGGGGGGTTCTTTTCCCTCTGATAACTTTTGTCTTGGATTCCAGCCAATTCTTCAGAGGCCACCGCCCTCCCGTCCCGAGGTCCGTTCCTGGCCAGTCGATGCCGGTATCCCTGGTCCACTTGTCGCCGTGTGCCGTTTTTCCTTTCCAAGGACCATATCCCCGTCATGTGTGCTTCCCCTTGACCCCACTCCAGCCTCAGCGACGTCGCTCTGCCTTGGACGAACCGCTGGCTACTTGCATCCCGCAATGTTGCATATCGCGACCAACAGGCCAAGAGCGGCATCCATCAACCATTCGCAGATAATTGGTCAATACTCACCCGACACCAGGGTTTTGACACTTCACGACATGACAAGCGCTCCATGCTAACGGCAGCCGACTCTTGTTTCCGTTGAACGAACCACGACCGAAATGGCTTGACCACCTCTTGGCAGCAAAGCTGTCGTGGCCTTGTTTGTTTCCCTAGCCCTAACCTCGAGAGCTTCGCTTTCTCGTGGCTCTCCAAGACATGATCTGACCTGATCGACTCGGGGCCTTTTTCTTGACTCGCCCTGTACTACCACAATATCCTTCACTTACCGATATTATGCTCGGCACAATAGACTCTCTGTGATTGCATTGTCTTTGCTTTCCCTGTCCCGGTCTCTTAGCAGAACGCAAATCGTCCCTTGACTCGTCATAGTCAGATCCGCCATCTGCCCATATCCCCTCAACCCTCAACGAGAACTCTCCCTTTACCCCTCCCCCCCTGAGCAGCCACCCCTTTCAGCTTCTGCGTCCCAGCCGGGCGCTTAAACCGATCTCGCGACGGCTCCCTGCGCCCAAGACTATAGATCGTCGTGCAACGTTGTACAGCCTCTACCTTGCGGCGTCAGCCTCAGCAAATGGCCTGACCGGTTTTATTCTGCCTGGGTTCTTCAGCGCGCCCGGAGCTGCTGAGCGCAAGACGAGCACCCCTTGCTTGGTTCACCACTTTGGCGGTGTGCCGATGTGCGCTAAGAGTCCATGGCTGTACTTCTGCATGCTCCAAATCCGGCGGGATCATCGCTCGCCATAACTGCGTTGCGTGCCTTCCAGCTTCACGGTCGCTCATAGAGCTCAAGGTGAGTCGCGGGTGCTACCTCAACCCTTGGGTTGCAGTCCCGAGTCTGGGATAGAGTAAGGGTCACTTCCCTAGAGAGGCGAGAAAGCCGTGTGTGCCTTGGTGATGTGCCCCAGTGATGAGCACCCTGGATCGTTGTCCCTCGTCTTCCAAGATAGTTTTGCCGGCAGATTCGTAAGAATGCTGCCATTGGTCCGATAAACATTATATCACGTGGACGGTATTAGTGCGGAACTCCTTCGACGGTCGGCTGAAGTCGTTCTTCATTGGAAAACGCGGTCCCTCTGAGGGCACTCGATACAGACTCCCAGTGTCCGGGTCGTTAAAAAGCCCTGTGCTCTAGCCCGGGAATTCCTCACGACTCCCTCCGAAGCTTAGTGTAGTTGAACGCCCGTTAGCAGGGTCCAGTTGATTGTCACCACGGCCCTCTCCGGACGTTCTCCAGGTCGTAAACTAACTAGTGCGGGACAGACATACGAGCAACCCGGTGAGAATCTACAGTAGCATGGAAGTTTCCGCTGTGTATTCGACAGGCCTGTTCTGTAGGAGCTCTATGAGGGATAGGGCTTGGCTGAATCCAGATGAAGCTTCTTCACAATGCGTGTTCGCCACCTTGGCGTGGGACGTACGCCTTAAGGAAATAACACGGGCTGACGGCAACCTTGCAGGCGGTGGTCTCACGCGAGGCTTTAACTCAAAATATACTCTATTCCGGTCGTTGTATGGGAGAGACGGGGAGAATCGGGATGGTTTGGTCGGTCCATCGGAGGCTACATCGCACACGCATACGCCAACCACTGGTCTCTCCTCTTGGAGGCCAGAGCCAACGTCAATGGGGGTACGGCGTCACACCGATGTGGAACGTTACTAAGGCCCGCCTCCTGTCAACCGTACTCGCCGGTTTCATTGACACTCGTCATAAGGGTTGGGCAAAGTGCGAGTCCGTCTGTCACATTATTGGATCCCAGCAAAGTCTGTTTACGTCTCTCTCGCCTTTCTCTCGTCGCCGGGCCGTTCTAGAACTTGGGCACCAAATTGAAAGAGAACAATGACTCTCGCGAGCGGCTGCGGAGGCATGTTTACACTTTGTCTACGAGCCAGGGCAGTCCGTCCGGATTTTTGCCTTCTCAAGAGCCTCTGACCCATGACGGCTTGTTTGGATGTGTCAAGTGTATGCCGCTAATGAGCATCCGAGAGTATGGATCAGCTAAGAGACGGGGAATACCCGCTCCCCGGGTAACGTCAAAAAAAAATGAAAAGGAGTAGGGGGGTTGCTGGCCACATTTTGAACGTTGGTCGGGTCTCGACACCGGCGCACCCCGGCCGAGTTGAAGGATAGCGGCGGCGGTGAACCCAGCATGTTCGGCATCCTCGAGCCAGAGGGGAGGTGCCGTGAGGCGGCACAGCCCCTTTCTTGTTTTGAGGGTTTGAACTATCGGACCAAAGGGGGCCGAGCAGACACCAGCTTATTCACGAGTCGCGATCCCAGCTGCGCTGGAACTTCGGCACTCGAGAGGGCTGCGTTCGTTGAGGTCCTGGACCCGGAGACAGGGGCCTGCCTAATTTGCGAGCCTCCAAGGGGGGGTGGGTGAGGAATGTCTGAATCCACGCAAAACTCTGCTGTGAATTTTGCAACCCGGACAACTGGAACCCCGCGGTGGCGCCGGCGACGGAGCCGGCGGCAGAATGTTCAGATAGGATTTACCCGTGAACAGGGGGTACAAGGACCGGCCACGTACAGTTATTGTTACCTGCTGAGGGGCCGGGATTCTGCCTAGATTCCATACTAAATAAAGACATCGGACGGGCGGGCTAGGCTGGCGGTGTGCTATCTGGGCCGCCTGGGATCCATGATGAACTCTCCGGGAGGGTGAGCTTCAGAACGCCTCAAAGGATTCGGTTCGCGTAGTAAGCGCCCCGTCATCTGGCC